ACATCAGCTGTTACTGCTGGTCTGCCTCACGTTTGACATTCAAACCAAACCAATTCTAGCTCTGTTTCTGAGTTTTTGTGTTCCGTTGTAAAATGTCATTGTTTCATTCTGTCATCTTAAAACCTAACCTTAATTTCTTTAGCATTACCGTTGCTACTGGATTTATAATCTTCATTTTTGCTTCATTCCCTTAAACATGTTATCATCCTGCCAGTTCTGTTCATATCTCTTTTGCAGCTTTCTGATTAAAGGTTTCATTCAGATTTCTCTTGCGTTCACATCACCGAAGCGATCATCACGTCATTCTCCGTGTTTGTAACTTCTTCATGTGCAGTCTCAATGCTCTGACTACGTGCATCTTTCTTCAAAGCCTCTCCTCTTGCCCAGGTTGCTGGGGCTAAATTTATTTCATTCTACAATAATCAATCTGATCATGGCCAGAGCATCTCCAGCAATGGTTTGCCTTTTCGTCATGGACCACTGCTAATGGCACACCAAAAGATTTATCTTTGACCACTTTCTTCCTCATTAAGCAAGATCATTTACAGATATGGTGCTACCTTCTATATGTATACAAATGATATCACCGCTACCTTATCACTCCTTTTTATCTCCATGCTTCTGTGCTGTTTATTTGTCTTTATGCCTTTGTCTTCAATTAGTTATTGTTTCCTGCTGCTAAATATTGGAATATGAAAGCCAGTGTCTTTGTTACCTCCTACCTCAAACTCAATGCCAAAGTCATAATGGCATTACTCAGACAGGATGTTGATAGGTTCAACCTGACATGTGAAATTTTTGTAGCCTATTCAATTTTGTGCTGAGTTTCCGACTCCATGTTCTCTATGGGAAAGGCTAACTACTTTCATTTTAGTAGCATTTCCTGCTTCTATCCTTGCTTCAACCTATTTGGAGCAGAAACTCACATTTGTATCCCTCCAGACTCAGCTCTTCCTGTGTACTTTTACCAAGTCGCTCCACACTCTGTAGACTTCAGCTAATTTAGATCTACTGCTGTGCCAAATTCCACTGTCAATCTTAACTTTTTAAAAATTCATTTGCGAGATGACCTTTGCAAACTAGACTAGCATTTATTTTCCATCGATAATTGCCTTTGAAAAGGTGGTAGTGAGTTGCCACCTTGAAAGACTGCAGTCCACTGGGAGAAGGGATTCCCAACGGTTATTATCTGGCTTTTCTCCCATTTGTCTTTAAACCACGCAGATCCCTTCACTGATCTTTTTTCCCCCAACCCTCCTATCTCTGTCCTCGCCTACAAAGATCTTTGTCTTTGGATTGAAATGGTGCTCGGGTATGGGGAAAAGACAGAAGATTGCTTCTAGGTAATAGAACCAGTGCAGGTATGATAGGCCAAATGGCCATCTTCTGCATCATAACAATTCTGAGATTTTATACACCACCTCTGACCGAGCTTTTGAAAAGGTGCCTGTTAATATTTCCTCTTGATACAGTGACCGTGTTAATTATTGCTCCGTATAACTCTTTGGGCTGATTTTATTTTGAGGAATTCATATAAAATCTAGTTTCTCTATCTAGCTGTGAGTGCGCCTTGTCCTGCCTTGGGTCTGGATGGGTGTACAGCACTCTAACTATGTTGGAAATGAATGTGCACCATGTTAGTTGTCCAGTTGATGAAATTAGTTTTTACTGCAAGGCCTTTTTAAAAACAAAACGAATATGTAGTGTGCTGAAATTTTTAAGGGATTGTGAAGTCTGTTTTCTCTATTTAGAAACCGTAAGGAAGAGAGTTATGGATTTAGTCAATAAGTTAAGTGAAAATTTGTTAGTTTCCTACAACGTCTTGTGATTTTTACCAATATTTGAAATTTTACTCAAAATACTTCATTTTTCAATTAAAAAAGATTAGCTTTGGTAACAAATTCCAAACAAAAGTATGTTGTAAAAATTTTACATAAATTGTTTTTCTTTCAAGTGAAGGGCAAGAAACTAAAATGATTCAGTTTTAAACTCATAATCCCCACCCCCACTCCCACCCCCTTACAGCCACAGTTAAAAGATGTTTCAAATGAGGCTTGTTTCATTGTGAATGCAATGGTTGATGAGGCATGGTTGGGTATATCCATTGTGAACTGGGGTGGCACAATGGCTCAGTGCTTAGCACTGCTGCCTGCACAGCACCAGAGACCGGAGTTTGATTCCACCATTGGGTGACTGTCTGGAGTTTACATGTTCTCCCCATGTCTCCTTGGGTTTCCTCCAGATACTCTAGTTTTCCCCCACAGTCCAAAGATGTGCAGGTTAGGTGGATTAGCCATAGGAAATGCGGGGTTACAGGGATTGAGGGGTGTTTCTGTGTGATGCTGTTTGGAGGGTTGGTGTACACTTGATGGGCCGAACGGCCTGCTTCCACACAGCAGGGATTTTGTGAACTGAACAAGAAGTGCTCTAGTGAATAGCATCAGCTGCTGAGTCATGGGAATTGACTCCTTGCTCAGCAAGGCTGTTGTATTGTGCATAACTGCATCATAACATTAGGGAAAATCCAATCATTGTTCAGTGACAGAACAATACAGCAAGAGGAGGGTGTGAGGAAACATTCTATATTATCTTTGGACAGAAATTAATTGTATACTTTTCTGGTCACCCCAGCAACAGCATGGAGAGAGGCAGAGGGCAGTGTAATATCCTCGCAACCTTCCCTATATTGGTCAGAGGGGAAAATTTCCATTGTAAATTTTGATTGTTTTCTGTTTGGGACAGGAATGTGCTGTTGCATATTTATTTAAAGGAGTGTTTAATGTTTGTTTCTGTCCAATGGTTTTTAGGAGTTCCTTGGCTCATTTGCTTTCAAAACATAATTTGTAACAGTATCTTACCCCTATGGCAATCTTATGCATTTGGTTTTAGTAGTAGCATCAACTGATTTTAAGCTTTGCTGGTTATGCTGTTCTCTTCTGATGTGCTGACGAAGAGCTATTGGTGCAGTTTGTACAATTGGTGTAAAATTGCGTGCTGTCCTCAACACACGGTTCCTGGTAAGCTGTGTGAGAATGTAAGAGCATGCAGTTACAATACTAACACCTATAATAAAGTGACTGAATAGGTTGTGTTCTTGCAGAGTTTCACAGTTGGTTCAGATTTGTTGAGGTTTTTTTTCTTGCAATACTGATGATTGATTCTAATTGATTCTGGTGCTTGACTGACTTGTCAGAAACTACTTGTTTTTCTAACTTTTTTCCTCTTTAAACTTGGTTGAAATAATTCCATTTGTTATACATTCAGTTACATTAGCTTTTAAGTATACTGTGCTGAGCATGTTACAAAGCCCGGTGAACGCTAATTCACTGAAATAGGAGAGGGAGCTGAAGCTGCAAATGTAATCTGTGCATAATGGGACAAGTAGGTATGCATGTTGATGGGGTACCCAGTTTTTACAAGTGATCTGGCTTGACAAATTGAGATAACTGCATGAATATTTTTCTCTGAGAACGTGGACTGAATCCTGATAGACTTGTGAAGGCAACTGTTGGCAGCTGGCTCATCTGCTCCACTTCTTTCAGTTCACAATTAATTGTAACAGATGATGTGAGCTGTTGGTAGGTTCTACCTGCTTAGGTCCATGTTCAAGAAAAATCTGGGTGAAAAATCAGGTTTATGGAAAACACCTGTTTGAGGGAACTGGGAGAATTGATATGAACTATTGATTTTGATATTTCTACAGGTTTGGTGACTGCAGAATAAACTGAATCAGATCTCAGTTAATTTATGAATTACTCCTTAATTACTTCTAGTGGAAGTGTCAAATGCACTGAGGAAAATACCTGTAGCTGGTTTAATGTGCAGCAGCGGAATCTAGAATCATTGTGTATATGTTTTATGTAAATATGTATTTACTATTGATCAGAGCAAGAAATATAGGTGAAATTCAGTTCTTCCTGGTGTTAAAAGGATTCTTGGCAAAATAAGCATCAAATGGAATGGGGCTTTTCCGCAGGGATCTGTTCTGGGACCTCTGCTCTTTGTGATCTTCATAAATAACTTGGATGCGGAAGTGGAAGGGTGGGTTAGTAAGTTTGCCGATGACACGAAGATTGGTGGAGTTATGGACAGCGTGGTGGGCTGATGTAGGTTGCAACGGGACACTGACAGGATGCAGAGCTGGGCAAAGAAATGGCAGATGGAATTCAACCCAGAAAAGTGTGAATTGATTCATTTTGGAAGGTCGAATTTGATTGCAGAATACAGGGTTAATGGCAGGATTTTTGCTATTGTGGAGGAACAGAGAGATCTTGGGGTCCACATCCATAGATCCCTCAAAGTTGCTACCCAAGTTGATAGGGTTGTAAAGAAGGCGTATGGTGTGTTGGCTTTCATTGGCAGGGGAATTGCGTTTAAGAGCCATGAAGTTATGCTGTAGCTCTATAAAATCCTGGTTAGACCACACTTGGAATATTGTGTTCAGTTCTGGTCGCCTCATTATAGGAAAGATGTGGAAGCTTTAGAGAGGATGCAGAGGAGATTTACCAGGATGCTGCCTGGACTGGAGGGCAGGTCTTATGAGGGAGCTAGGGCTTTTTTCATTGGAGCGAAGAAGAATGAGAGGTGACTTGATAAGAGGTTTACAAGATGATGAGAGGCATAGATAGAGTAGATAGCCAGAGACTTTTTCCCAGGGCGGAAATGTCTATTATGAGGGGGCATAATTTTAAGGTGATTGGAGGAAGGTACAGGGATGATGTCAGAGGTAGGTTCTTTACGCAGAGTGGTGGGTGTGTGGAATTTGCTGCTGGCAGTGGTAGTGGAGTCAGATACTTTAGAGACTTTTAAACGACTCTTGGATAGGGACATGGATGATAGTATAATGTCGGGTATGCAGGGTAGTTTGATCTTAGTAGGATAATAGGTCGGTACAACATCGTGGGCCGAAGGGCCTGTTCTGTGCTGTACTGTTTTATGTTCTATGCTGTTGGCAGTCATGTGGCTTAAATTGATATTATCTTTGCATTTTTTCCCCTCAGGTTGTTCTTAGAAACGCGATCATATGATGGCTTGATTCCCAGGGAGCATTTGAATGACAGACTGCCCAAAAATGTCAAGTTCAGGTTATCCCCAAGGTCAAGGCCCATTTGGTGCAGAACCAAACCGATACCCAACTCATGCAATTCCATATAGCTTCTCCAGCAGCAGGCACCAGCAGGTAAGCTGTCAGGTATTGGTTGATCTTGTGCAGCAACCTACACTGTTTTGGCTCTTGTCCGATTGTTCAGCTAATTCCATTTTGAACAGTGCTGAAGTACGTTGTAGGATTGTTCTTTGGTTCTCTGTGTCTCGGTGATAGAGCTGAGTCATGAACCAACACTAAGAATGCGAAGAAGGTATAGCATGAATGACATTGCATTCAGAAATAAGAATATTTAGGAAATCTGATGACGTTTTAGAAGCTAATGTGACAAATGTCTATCCATAGATTTGGTCTTTGGGCTTTGCATTACCCAGCCTGTGGGCTCCTGGTGCTCATTTAATTGCCTTGAAGATTCATTTTTCAGAATTTATGCCTAAATTGGCATGTGTTTGTTGTCAACTCCTATTTTACCCTTTCAGAAAACTGAGAAACTGGGAGATAGTGGGGAATTACAAAAAGCCTAAGCTGGTGTCACAAACTAACTAATTACTTACACGTGCAGTCTGTTGCATGCTACTGCTGTATAGAATGTGTAGCATCGTTCTGTAGCTTCACTAGGTTGATGCTTGATCTTTAGGTATGCCTAGTACTACTTCTGTACTCCACTAATCATAGAATTCCTACAGTGCAGAACAGATCATTCAGCCCATCATGTTCACACTGACCCTCCAAAGAACAACCTACCCAGACCCACGTCCCCTACCTTATCCCTGTAAGCCTGCATTTCCCGTGGCCAGTCCGCTTAGCCTGCACATCCCTGGACACTATGGGCACTTTAGCATGGCAAATCCACTTAACCTGCACATCTTTAGACTGTGGGAGAGAATCAAACACCCAGAGGAAATCCATGGTGACACAAGGAGAATGTGCAAACTCAACACAGACAGTCGCCTGAGGGTGGAATCAAACCTGAGTCCTGGTGCTGTGAGGCAGCAGTACTGCAGTATACTGGTATGGAGGGAGAATTGGCTAATGGCAGGAAACAGTGAATGGAGATAAGGGTTCTTTTTCCAGATGACGACCTCTTGAAGAATGTAGGATCCTGAAAGATCTAGGCTAGATGAATGTTGAAATGATGTTTCCTCTTGTGAGTGAGTCCAGTACTGAGGACAGATTTTTAAAATTAGATGTCACCATTTTAGGACAAAGATGAAAGATATTCTGTCTCAGTGGGTTATGTGAATTTTGGAACTCCGCCTCAGAAGGTAGTGGAGGCAAGTCATTGGATATTTTTGAGGTGGAGGTAGATAGGTTTTTGATCAACAAGGAGATCAAAGGTTATCAAGAGTAGATGGGAATGTAGAATTCAACACACAAGCAGATTATCCGTGGTCTTAATTCCAGGATTGGCTCAAATGGCCAAACGGCTTGCAACATTTTCTTATGATTGTATGGGATATGATGAGACATGAGGTTTATGCTAGGTTATGACCACTCTGCTGATATTTTTACTTCTTTCTATTTCTTCTTCCGTTATATGTTTAACTTCTCCTTACATGCCTCTATGCTATTTAATGCAACCAATTCATGTAGTATTGAGTTCCACATTCTAACCAGTCTCTGGTTAAAGAAATAAAAAAAAAGTACTAGAGAGACTGACTTTCTCAGAACTGAAGAGGAGTTATATCATACTTGAAATGTTAACTTTATCTCCACAGATATTGTTAGATCTGTTGAGTGTCTTTAGCACTTCTGTTTTTATTTTAGATCTCCAGCATCTGTAGTACCATGCTTAAGGTCTTGGCTCTTGAATCCCTAATTGGACTTAGCAGCGACTATCTTTTATTTATGTCCCTTAATTCTGGCCTTAATATAGAAATATCTTCTTCACGTATACTTTAACAAGCCTTTTCATTATGTATTTTTCTATGCTGAAGGGCATTGTTAAGTCTTGAACAGATTTCAGTTCCAAATTTCTGTTTTGGAGCGAACTCGGAACTTGCAACCTTAACACTGATTCCTTCATTTGGACACATGACTGCAAGTTTTATTAGGCCACATTGCCATAAGAAATAGGGACAGGAGGAGGCCATTCGGCCTCCCAAGCCTGGTCTGCCGTTCAATACGTTCATGGCTGATCTGACATTGCTCATGTCCACTTTCTTGCCCTTTCCCCGTGACCCTTGATTCCCCTAGCAGATTATCCACTTGCATTATGTCCATGGCTTTAATAATCTTCTGAGAGTTTCTGTTTCTACGAAACCATTGTAATTTGTGATTATGTAAAAATTCTTTCATTGTCATTGGGTCAAAACCCTCAAACAGCTTTTCCAACAGCACAATGGATGCAGCAGTTTGAGAAGGTTAGTCTCTTCCACGGAAAGTAGTGAAGACTGGATCATTGCATTCATTCGTGATTGGATTAGCATTATTCTTATCAAATAGGGCAGTCAGGGATATCGGTGAAACCAGAAAATAGAATGGAGACCACAATTGGAGCAGACAATGTTATTAAATGATAAATTCAGGTGCAAAGGACTAAATAGCCTCCTCCTAAGCTTTGTTGTCTGAGGAGCAATCTGAGATGAACGATAACCGTTCTCTTTCCTCGTGATATTGCCAACCCATAAATGAATGAAAAATAGACTTGAATCAGATCCAAATATGTGTAGGTGAGGTGGATTGGCTGTCCTAAATTGCCCATAATGCCCATGGATGAGTAGGTTAGGTGGATTAACCATGGTAAATACAGGGTTACAGGAATAGCATAGGGGGGACGGATATAGGTGATATGCACTTCGGAGGGTTGGTGTGGACTCAGTGGGCTGAATGGTTTGCTTTCATCCTGCAGAGGTTCTGTGATTCTAAGATCCCATCTAAGTTTCTCTCTTACAGAAAAGAGATGAAAATTTAACAGTGCATCAAAATGAGGCCTTACAAAAGCCATGCATAATTCTTTGCTGAGGTTTTAATTTTATAGTGACCATAAGACAAAAGAAGCAGAATTAGGCCAATCAGTCCACTGACTCTGCCCCACCATTTGATCATGGCTGATCATGGCTGATCTGTTTCTCAACCCATTCTCCTGCTTTCACCCCATAACCCTTGATCTCCTTTCCAATGAAGAACCTGTCTATCTCAGTCTTGAATACATTCAATGACTTGGTGTCCATAGCCCCCTGTGGCAGTAAGTTCCTCAGATTCATCACAAATCATCTCAGTTCTAAAGAGTCGTCAGAAGCTTTAACCTTGGGTTCTATTCTCTCCTCCTAGTAGAAACATCTCCTTGACTACTCTGTCCAGGTCTGTCAGCACTCTTAAGTTTTTTTTTAATCAGTTGCCCCATGATCCTTCTAAACTACGTCGATTATAGTCCCAGAGTCCTCGACCACTCAGTGATGAGCCCTTGATCCCCGGGATCATTCTTGTAAATTTCCTCCAAAGCCAGCATATCCTTCCTTAGAAATGTGGCTAAAAACTGCTCTCAATATTCCAACTGCAGTCTGACCAGAGATTGTTCAGTCTCAGCAGTGCATATCTGCTCTTGTATTCTAGCCCTCTTGAAATGAATGTGGTCATTGCATTTGCCTTCCTAATATATAACTGAACTTGCATGTTAATTGTACGAGAATCCTGAACTAGCACACCCAAGATTTCTGAAGCCTTTCCCCGTTTAGAGAAAATACTCTCCACCTCTGTTCTTCCTACCAAAGTGCACAACCCCACACTTTCTCACATTGTATTCCATTTGCCACTTCTTTGCCCACTCTTCTCACCTGCCCAATTCCCCCTCAAGCAGCCTCCTCAACACTACCTGTCCTTCCACCTATCTGTGTCATCTGCAAATTTAGTAACAATGGCCTTAGTTTTCTTTGTTCAGATCATTAATATCTGACGTGAATAGTTGTGGTCCCAACACTGACCCCTGTGGAACTTCACTAGTCACTGGCTGCCATCCTGAAAAAGACTCTTTTATCCCCACTCTCTGCCCTCTGCCAGTCAGCCAATCCTCTATTCATGCCAGTACTTTTCCCTGAACACCATGGACTCTTATCTTATTTAACAGCCTCCTGTGCGGCACCTTATCAAAGGCTTCTGGAAATCCAAATAGATCATGACCACTGGCTCTCTTTTGACTAACTTGCTTGTTAGCTCCTCAAAGTATTCTAACAGATTTGGCAGGTATGAACTCCTCTTGATGAAGCCGTGCTGACTCAGCACAATTTCACTATGCACTTCCAAGTACTCCGTAATCTCATCCTTAGTAATGAACTCTCAAAATCTTACCAGCGCCCAAGGTCAGGCTAACTGACCTCAAGTTTCCGGTCTTCTGACTCCCTCTGCTTATATCAGTGGTGTTACATTAGTCATTTTCCAGTCCTCTGGAACCCTCCCTGATTCCAGTGATTCCTGAAAGACCACACCAATGCCTCCACAATCTCCTGAGCTATCTCCTTCATGACTCTGGTGTAGTCTATCTGGTCCAAGCAATTTATCCACCTTCAGATCTTTTGACCTTCCCCAGCATCTCCTAAGTGATGGCCAGTACACTCACTTCTGTCCCGGACTGTCTTGACGTTCTGGTATACTACTGATGTCTTCCATTGTGAAAATTGATGCAAAGTACTATTCACTTCCTTTGCCATTTCTTTGTTCCCCATTACTGCTTCTCTAGCCAATGGCCTAATGTCCAATCTTGCCTCTCTTATCGTTTAGATATCTTAAAAAAAATTCTTGCAATCTTCTGTATCAAACACTACCTTCAGGACTCGAGTCCTGGCCATGGAACAGTGTCTATTGCCCTGACTATACTATTTCCCCAATGACAACTATATTTCTATCTTCTTCCCGGTAGTATTGTCAGTTTGCTCATCTTCCCTACAGCACCCATTCATCTATACAGGGAGCAAGAATCTCAAACTTAGATGTTAGATAATGTTAGATAATATCAGGGCTGAACACCTCAGAATCCAGGTAACTCCTTGTCTCCCTAATGTGTTGAAGTATTCGTAACTCAGATTCCAGCTCATTCAGTCTGAAAAGGAGTTCCTCAAACAACCAACACTTGCTCCAGA